AGGTTACTGGCTGAGGGTCAGTGGGATGTGGATCGTACTGCAGATTGCAGGTAGCAAGAGCTTCACGCAGGGACGCAATGCGTTCCTCGCTCCACAACCAGTATGTGCTGGAGGTGCTTTGCTGTGTAGTACTGCTCTCATTTTTATTATTATTAATATATTTTGTATTATTGTTTCTGTGGGTGGTGTGCTGCTGGGGTCGTATGTTGCCTTGTATGACAACATGATCAGAGGCACCCATAGGGGGCAGGCTTGTGATGGTGATGTTATGGCGGCTGAGGCTAGAGATGGCCAGGTCCAGGCACGATGTAGGTGTGTGTTGGCGTAGGTGGGTGGCAAAGGAGACGTGTTGTGTGAGGCCACGAGTCTCGCACAGCCAATGCAGGTCCTCACCTAAGGCATCGGTGGTGTCGCTGGGGTGCCACAAGCAGTTCTTGGCGTTGAAGTCGCCAAGGAGAAGTATCTCATCCTGGGGTCTTTCAACTAGCTTTATGGCTCTCTCCAGTTCCATCACGAACTCTGCGGGGTCGGACCGCGGGGGACGGTTGATGTTTCCTACCACAAGGGAGGCTTGGCCGATTGATATTCTAATCCAAATACATTCCGCTTGAGTCATGGGAATGGTAATTGTCTCGTGTTGGCAGCTGTGTGGTATGTATGTGGCGACTCCTCCACCAAAGGTGTCTCGGTCCGCTCTTATGAGTTTGTAGCCGTTGATGGCGTACATCCCGTCGCTGTCCGATGGATCCGCCCAGGTTTCCTGGATGGCGATTATTGACGGTTGTTGCAACTTTGCCACGTGGCTAAGCTCGTCCATCTTGTTGAACAGACACCTACGTTCGAGCTGATGAAATTCGCGACTTCCATTATTTTTTATTTATTTTTGTAATTTGTTTCGTTTTTTTTTGGTATTTCCGCAATTGAAAGTATTGTTCTCACTGATATTGTGTGGAGGACAGCGCTAGGATTGAGTATCGTGTGACACCAGTGGGCTGAAGCGTGAGCCCTGTGCCGGGGCAAGGGGTTGGCTTTGGCCAGGGTCGATGTTGTTGCTCTCTTTTTGTTTTTTGGAATTTTTGAAATCAGGTGAGGATACCGCATTGGGACTGGGTCTCCTGCGTCGTTCGGAGGTAATCCAGGGGTTTGCTGGCTGGTTAGACATGTCTGTGTTAGTCACCAGTGAGGAGACGAGGTCTTCAGCACGCGCCGAATCTGGGTGACTACACTTTGTTGTCGGAGTAGTTGTGTCGGTGTGCGGTGAGTTGGATGTTGTCGTACTTGTATTTGTGCTGCCTGGCCGCGTTCCGGGGTGCACGGTCGTGCTGGTTGCCGACATGGGCGATGCGATGTCGTGTTCGTACGACTCGTACTGGTTGTTGACTGGGTCGTTTGGGTGCGAGCTCGAGAGCACGTCTGCTTTCGGCGTGGTATTGGCACCATCGGAGGCCGTTTGGGATACGCCGCTGGCGTGGGTCAAACTCGGGGACGCTTTTGGTGCCGAATCGGTACGGTGAGACTCCGCTTCAGCTCCGCTGTTCATGTTCCGCTCTGTGCTGCCAGTGCTGCTGCCTTCTCTGCCGGCATGCGTGGAGGTGTGTGCACTGCGACGGTTTTGGCAGGTACGCGCGATGTGACCTAGCTGGCCACATAGCCTGCACGTGCCTACCTGGCTGTCGTAGATGATGCGGAGCTCGTGAGAACCTTCTGTCGTACGCAGGTACGACGGGATCAAACTGCCTGGTTTGAGTTCAAACGTGGCGAATCGCACACCAGTTGCTGTTTGGGTGCCGTTTGAAAGTTTGATTTTGCCGTGTCGTATCTCACCGATAAGCTTTCCGTACGGTGAGAGCGCAGCTTTTAGGACACCGTCTGAGATCCAGTTCGGAGCATCATGGATGTGTAGCTGTGTTGTTGGTGCGGAAACGAAGCGTGGTGAAACTCGTTCGCCCTTGCAATCGAAGCCATTGAGCACCAACAATTTGGCTTTTTCATATGACTCAACGGTAAGTCTACATTGACCCCTGCTTGTTGTCTGCATCGAAATGATGCCGGTGATACCTTGCTCTTCTAGGAGCTTTATGTAGGCCCCCACGCTTACCTGGGCTTGCGAGGGGAATACAACAGTGTTCTTCTTCAGTGTCGAAGACGAGAGCTGTCGCCAGGGCTCCGTATCTGCTCCGTTTCCGGCCATGACGCCTGGCGGTTGTAGTGAATCAGCACTCTAGGTGATCTAGTTTGCTACCTGTGCATCCACAGCCATACGGGCTGGGAGCGGACTATTATGCTAAAAAAACTACGGAGCTCCAAAAACTGCTTCCGCTCTCCAGCTAGTTGATTGTTGTTGTCGTTGTTGTTTGGAAGGAGATTCTTGTTTCACTAAGTTATGGTTTGCCAGTGACATCAGTGAGATCCACAGTCGGACAGAGTCAGTCCATATAGAACAGGGAAAGGAACGAGATGAGACTGGAGAAATACATTTTCAATTCCATGAAGATGTCAATGTACAATGATAGGCTCAGAACTAATAGGTACAGAGTGAAGACGCATGCAATACCTAACAGACATGGAAAAGCCAACTAGAAATTTGATTCGGAACACAATGTTACTGTGCAGCCGAAGAAGTACTTGGCAGCAGCTGCCGATTTAGGTGAGCCGCTATTTATTGGCATAGTTGCCCTATGGTGCCGACTTCACCCGATCCTTATGACGATCTGGTGAACTTCTTTGAAGAGTATTTCGGCCTGAAGCAGAAAGCAGCATCCCATTCGGCGTAATTGTTTTCGACTGAGCAAACTCAGGGTGAATCAGTGCTGGCCTTTTGACTGTGTCTAAAAGGACATAAGAGTGTGTAAACTTACCAGTTTCCGCAGTGCGGATGAGCTACTGGGAGTTGTTGGAGTCTACCTGTTTGAATGGGGACTTATCTCTACCAATGCTAGAAATATTGTCCTGGAACATGATGCACAAGATTTGAGCTCAACCACGGGCAGTGGTACTAGCTGAAGAGGGCACCAAAGAAGTACATGTGCCAGAAGTGAGATATTCCGCTACACGTCAACCCGGACCTGTATCGTTGCCAGCATCAGGCTGTGGATATTGTGAGTAGAGCATCCTCTAGGCGAGCTGAACTACCAAGCTGCTCAAATGTTCTGTTCCAAGTGTTGACGAAAGGGACATTTTGTATCGGTTTGCCATACCTTCTGTGATCTGGTAGAGCGGGCTTTTATTCTCGTAGCTATGCAGAAGACGTTACTTGAGTAACGTCTGGTGCTAGCCAGGGTCCACACAGCTTTAATTTGGTGTTTGTTTGTGTGTTTGTTTTTGTCACGCCTGGCGCTATCCGTATCTGAAGGCAAAAAAGCATAGGATGTTATAAATTTTTCAATTCTCCTTTTTTTCAGGCATATCCTGGGATTCGAACCCGCACTATCGCCCTACATGCATTCCCCCATACACTTCGCATTCATACCCATTCTTCCAAGTTGCTTTACGTTATTATCTTGCGTTTGAAAGTCCTATTTGAATATTGTGGGCAGCTGTATGTGGCCAGCTGTGTTTGATGGTACGGTACGGTACGGGAGACGGTGTCGTATTACCCTCGATCGTACCTGTCCCGTACCTATCCCCTACCGTACCGTGCCATCAAAGACGGCTGGCCACAATGCATATTCAAATAGGGCTTTCAAATGCAAGATCACAATGTGAAACAACTTGGAAGAATTAGTATGTATGCGAAGTGTATCGGGGGATGCATGCAGGGCGCGCGATAGTGCGGGTTCGAATCCCAGGTTATGTCTTAAAAAAAGGAATTTTTTAAAGAATTTATAACATCCCTATGCTTTTTTATTGTCTAGGTCATCAAGGCAAAAAAGCATAGAGTAGGGCCCTGAGCTTCCAAGCTCTCTCGTTTGCTTTTATTCCCGTAGCTATGCAGAAGACGTTACTTCAGTGACGTCTGGCGCTAGCCAGGGTCCACACAGCTTTAATTTGGTGTTTGTTTGTTTGTGTGTTTGTGTCACGCCTGGCGCTATCCCGTATCTGTCCCGTACCGTACTGTACCATCAAACACAGTTGGCCACATACAGCTGGCCGCAATATTCAAATAGGGCTTTCAAACGCAAGATCATAACGTGAAGCAACTTGGAAGAATGAGTATGAATGCGAAGTGTATGGGGGAATGCATGTGGGGCGATAGTGCGGGTTCTAATCCCAGGAAATGCCTAAAAAATAGGAGAATTGAAAAATTTATATAATCCCTTTTCTTTTTTTTGCCGTCATCAAGGCGGTAGACGGTGTCGTATTACCCTCGACCGTACCTATCCCGCACCTGTCCCGTACCTGTCCCGTACCTGTCCCGTACCGTTCCGTACATTCAAAGACGCCTGGCCACAATGCATACTATTATAAGCGCTGTGCTTATATTTTTTCAACACCCCTCTACCCCGTGCTTATATTGGAGACCGCGCTTATATTGGAGACTGTGCTTATATTTTTTCAACCAATGCATCCGTACAGATCAAGAAGAAATACATGCTAGATATTATGCATGCAGCATTGATTTCCACCAAGACCGTGCTAATAATAGAGACTGTGCTTATAATGTTTGGAAAGGTGCTCACAGTGTGCTTATATTAGAGACTGTGCTAGTAATGGAGACCTGTGCTTATAATAGAGAATATACGGTATTCAAATAGGGCTTTCAAATACACGATCATAATGTGAAGCAACTTGGAAGAATTGGTATGTATACGAAGTGTATCGGGGGATGCATGCAGGGCGATAGTGCGGGTTTCGAATCCCAGGTTATGTCTCAAACAAAAAGTAGAAACTTATAAGAATTTATAATATCCCTATGCTTTTTTTGTCTAGGTCATCAAGGCAAAATAGCATAGCGTAGGGCCCTGAGCTTCCAAGCTCTCTCGTTTTCCTCCTTTCCTTCATCAAAACGACTGTTTTGTTAATTTTTTAATTCTTTACTGTCAATCCTTGTACAGGTCCACCAATGCCAGTAATTTTGTTTCCTAGTTTTCAATCAAAACAGTTCACTGTGTCTATTACTCCCACTGTGGGTAACTATAACCCCAAGAAATGTTGTTACGGAGTGGAAAGGAAGTCTATTTCTGGCATAACCAGTGAATCAGTGAAGAGAATATCAGGTTGCACTGCTGTTACCATGCCTGGCAAATTTGACGCACAGATGTATGATATGAATATGTTAGAAGAAGATTCAAACTTCGAAGTTGTTGCCTATTTTACAAATGGAAACGATGTAGATGGCCTCAGCACAGCATCTCGAGTTACTACCACCGCTGACG